TGATTTAGAGGATATCACATCTTCACATCTTGCTAATCTTGCGAACTTTAGGAAGGTGCTTGCCTGCCCCTGTGCAGCGGCTCATCAGAGCACGCCAGAGATGATCAGTGATCCCCGAGTGCGAGCAGAAGGCGAGAACAAGCCGTCGGCGCCAGCGACGATTGCTGCATCGGGTGACTCAATCAAGCGGGAGTGGGCTCACTACCATATGTGGGCCGGTGTCTTCGGACACGAGCTCGGACTCAACCCAGACCGTGACTGGGAAGAGAGCGTGAAACAGCTCTACACAGGCGCAATCGCGCAAACCGCTTTGTCTACGTGTCTGGGAGATGTTGATCATGGCTATAAGGCCCTCCCTAAGGTGGCACGGATCAACGACGAGGGGTTGTCGCGTTTCCAGCCCGGCGATAGCCGAGGCCGCGAAAAAGCCTGCATCATTGTTTCCGACTCTACCCTCATTTTCAAGGCTGGGGCGAGAACATTCGTTGAGATGGCGGACGACTTTAAAGCTCTGACGGGGCCTGGTCATATCCTTCAGCAATACACGAATGTCCGACAAAAGGCGATTTGGGGAGGCAACCTCCACTCGATCGTTGAGGCAGTTCACACGCTCTTGCCGCAGATCATCAACGAATCGTTAAACCCCTTGCATCTCGAGGTCGATATCGTTGTTGTTTGGATGGGCAACGAACTGTGCGGTCGCAGAGGAGTCTTCGTCGACCCAGGGACGCCACACTGGCAGATTGGTCCTGAAGGCGTTGCCGCAGAAGGGATCTGGGCGGACATTGCCGCACGTGTGTGCGGTGAGATTGGCCGTCTAGCCGCCCTTCAGGGCAGGCCAACGGTGGGCTCAGTGCAAATCCTCTCGGATGCCGACCCACTGGACTACGGGCTGCCAGCAGAGTACCGCACAGCTATCCGAAAATTCCTCGGATACGCAAGGAGTAGGGGGTTATACACCGCCTCTCTCAAAGAAAGCGTATGCCAGATCCCGAAGCACGACCACTACCACTTCCGCGAAGACTCAACACATCGCGCAGCCTTGGCCTCTGTGATCGGACAGCGGATTAAAGTGTGTCAAGCTGACCACTTATTCGCGAAGATGCCCGCAGAGACGCTGGACGAGCTGGCCCGCCGTTTTCCTTTTGATCCAGAAGGAACGCGGGTGTATTCCATGCAGTATGTCTTCGACAAGGCACTGTATCGGTCCCAGCTCTCCCGCCGCCTTTTAAGGCAGGCCGAGATTCGCGAAGCTGCGAACGAATGCCCTGATCCATGGGAATCCCCTTATGTTCCTCCACCTGATCTTCCGGTCACTGGAATGCGTGAGGTCCCTCAGGATGTCCTGAATTGGGAATGGGCCACAGCTCGCGAACAGGCGCAAAAGCGCGCGAAAGAGCAGGCGGAAGCACGTGCCCGTGCTGAGCGAAAGGATCCAGCCCCACTTAGTGGTGGCCCATCTGGCAGTGCATCATCTCGCGACGTACCGGAGGTGTCCTTTGACGATGTCATCGAGGCCATCCCTTACCGCACAGAGTCTCACCGTACTCTGTCAGCGGCAAAAGAGGGCATGACCAAGAAGGACCGGGACCCTTCCAGCGGCCTATTAAGGGCTCGCCCACACGACTACATTGGGGTAAAGTACCAAGACGACTTGGACCTGATGGAAATGTGTGGCTTCGTTGACGAGGATGTGTGCCCAGAGGATCCGGAGGGGAGCGAGATCGTTCAGATCCTCCCCGACTCGATCCCGAAGGACCACCTCCCTGAGTTGGGCCTCAAACCTTACGTTGAGCGCTACCTCACAGGTGCTGTCCGAGGATCGAACGTGAAGCTCAGCTCACGGCGCGGGAAATGGATTCGCATCCAAGAACTCATTCAGCATATGTGGAAGAAGCACCGTGTGGATCTGGGAACACGAGGTATCTTGTCCATAGTCGCCTACGATAACAAATCGAGGTTTAACTTGGCAGGCCTCCCCACTGATCCGCGTGCTGACTTCATTGAGACGGACATTTGGCCCTCTTGGATTTGTGCTTCGCATGGTCACAGCGAACGCATCAAGGACCAAGTGACCGATTCCTCTATTGCGCTGCATTGGTTCACGAACGATACGCGAGAGGAGCTTGGTCCTACAGCCGCCTATCAAGGCAGGCCATTCCTTGCTCTCGGGGAGTTTCCCCCGCGTCTCTATCACAGGACGACGCATGATGCAGCCTTCAATATTCTCTCTTCTGGCTTTACGCCAGGGTTCAACAGGAGCGGCAAGTTTCATAACTACTTCGCCAAAGCCACCCTGAGCGAGCTTGAGAATAAAGCTGGCAGCCGAGCGAATCTTCCTTACGAAATTGTACTCGACACTCAGGAGGTCAACCGCTATGCGTACCTCTTCGAGACAACTTCCGAAGGTATACTGACTCGCGATCCGGTGCCGGGGACTTGTGTGCTCTACATCCGCGACACCATCAAAGGCATCATCCTGTGGTCTCGTCAATCCAGCGAGGAGGAAGATACAATCATTCCGGAAACTGCCCAGGATCCCATTGTCGATCCTGGAGCAGCTGAGCCGGAGCAGTTCCCCGATGTTCCGGAGGAACCTTCAGCCCCACTTAGTGGTGGCCATGAAGAAGTTGAAGCGGCAGCGTCTGCTCCCGCAGACGAGCCTATGGTTGAAGTTGAAGTTGAGGTTGAGGTTGCGCCATCAGCATGATCACCAGCACCTCTTGCACTCAACGACGCTACAGCATCCGACTTCCTTCCGGAGGAAACCACAACATTGGACCAGGGGGGCGCTTCACCACCGGAGGCACCGACTGAGTCCAGAAAGCGAGTGCGTTTCCTTGAGCCGGAGGAACCAGTCGAGATCGACATTGAGATCGAGCCAGAGGAAGGCGATGTGAAAAAGGAGGAAGAAGAGGCCAAAGTCGAGCCGATGTATGAGCAGGCACCGCCGCAACCGGAGTCGACACCATTGGCGCTCCCTCCAGCCCCCGTTACGGGTGGCCGCCACAGAGCTTGTCCCCACTGTGGGACGCAGCATCTCGTGGGACAGATGATCTGTCTCCACTGTGGCGTGCACATCGTGAAGCCTTCCCAGCAAAGCGCCCGCAAAAAGGTGCGAACGGCCCGATGGTTCGCCGAACAAGCTGCAGCGGCCACGGCTGGTAAACCGCGATCCCAGCTCACACCTGAGGAGGTCATCCACGAGATGACGCGGGATGCTACCACGCAACGCGGGACTACCTCCTTGGACGCAGAGGCACTGGACAAGGCACGGCAGCAGTTGAAAATGGCGGTGAAAGGGGGATACAGCAGTATCGTCAACCGGTTCGACAACGACGTCGATTACACGATGAGTTCCATCGGCAACGGGTTCGACCGGGAATTTCTAGCCATTGAGGATGTCCTCACGCATGCTGCTTTGCCGAACCACGGTCGTTCCAAGGAGCAGAGACAGCTCGCCATCGGCACCTATGGCGGCGCAGACGGCCCTCGGAACCAGGAGATCGCTAGGTTGCTCTACCTGCATGAGTGCAATCCAGCCGCCCTTAGGGCAGGCCTGATTTCCGCCGTCAGTGAGACGATCCATTTTGCATAATGTGGCTTGGAGGGGCATACAGTCTGCGTAAGTTTGTAGATGTTTTCCTTCAGCACAAAATTGTGCGAATGATCGTGACCTTCTCAGAGGAAGCACTCTACATTGACCCACGTCTCGGATATTCCGCTGACGAATGGGTCGAGTGGCTTCAGCAGAAGTTTGCGGTTCAGGTCGGAGTTGCACGCCGTGCATACGAAGAGCGCCAACGCAACGCTGAACGCTCTCGCATTGCTCAAGCCAAAGCTGATGCACGCAGAGCAGAGCAACAGCGCTACCAGGAGCAGGGATGGGATCGCGGCTACCAGCGAGGATCCCACCCCTATGGACGCTCCTCGGGTTCCGGAGGATGGTACTAAGTACCTGATCGACATTTCGTGGTTCCGTCACGTTAACCGGTACTCCGAAATACAGCCCCTCTTAGAGGTGGCCGAATTTCCTTAAGACCAGAAAAACTTCATGCTTCATTTCCTGGCAGTCACTTTGTGACAAATCCGAACAGCCAGCAGCTCCAGTGGATGATGTATTCGTCCCACGCTGCACATGTTCTTGCGACTCGTATCCACGCCATCAATCAAGGCTTGCTGGATCGTCGCCATTTTATAATGCATGTCGCGACTTTAAACTGCGCGCCAAAAGAATTAATCTGCTTCCGTATCTTCCGCTTTACGGTAGTAGAAAGCCTATGAGCCCCGAGCCACAATCCAGCCGCCTTTACGGCAGGCCACACAGCACCAAGCTTCCGTGCATGTTTGCGCCTCAGACTGACGCTTCGGCGAGGGGGGTGTAATTTGTGCACGTGTGAAGTATCACGTTGTGTGTATGGCATTGTGGCACAAGTGCTCTAGCAGGAAAAAGGTGTAGCTACCTAATGGTATCGTGCGCTACTTGCTAACACTTGGACGGGTTATTATCAGTGCGTGTGTGCAGTGGTTTACAACAACTATAAAGGTTTAGGGTTTAAGGTTTAGGGTTTGGGGTTTCGGCTGCCCCGGATCCCTCCTCCTATTCTTTCTCCCCCTTCCGCCCGAGCTGTGAGGTTTTGCAAGGATTCCTGTAAGTTTCTCGTGAGGTCTGCTGTGAGGAGCCCGGACCTTGGCTCACAAGAGACCTCCCAAGTTTGCTCACAAGCATCCTCACGAGGAGCTCACAAAACAAGCAGTTTCTCAAAACCTGGGAGCTTCCGAATATGAGGGGTACCCTATTTTGGGGGTCCTTATATGAAGGATCCTACCATTCAGGGCGCTATATTGGGGTCCCCTATTTTGGGAAACTCCCACCTATGACTCCCCGCAACATCAAGTCACAATCGAGAGACTGAGAGCCATCATCGGCAGTAGTCAGTAGTCACCTGCCTTGCTACCCGGTAGCATACCTATATCCTTCATGCTGATATTCCGATGAGGCTGTGCCCGACCGTGCGAAGGCTGGACGGAGCGAGGGTTTGATTAATTGAGCAGTGACTTGCGGAGCGCAGTGCTCTGAAAGAGGCTTCGCACGCCGCGTGTCCCGGAACTACAGTCGTTTGTGTCACAATACTGCCATTCTGTGTTGCTTACTGGCACTTCTTTAAGGACTGTTGTGTATCTGGCTGGCTTTGCTATGCTTGTATGCGGATTTTTCCTGCATTCACGGCTACAAGGAGGCTTTGAATTGATCTCAAAGGCACGTCCTTTCTATGGATGGCTGCAAGGCTACAGAAGCAAGCCGAGCAAATGTTTCGTTTCTGTGAACCCTAAACGCAAGGCCGCAGATATAAACCCTCAACAGACACGCTTCAGAACCCCTACTTGGAGGGTCGGGGGACTTAGTAAGTAGGTAGTAAGTAGACTTATTATAAGTACCTTAAAAAGACCTTAATTGGGGGTTATGGTACTTATAAGTCCTTAAAATAACCAATTACTAAGTCCCCCGACCCTCCAAGTAAACCCCAATCCCTTAAACCCCAAACCCTGAAACCCTTCAACCCTAAACCCTCAGCCTGCGCCCCAAGCCATTCAAAACCCTAGAGATCCCTCGCAAAATCTTGCCAAACGTTTCAACCTCTTGCTATTCTTGTCAAGCCTCTCATCGCTCGTCTTTCGCAACCGTAAATCCCCAAACCCCACATTTGCCCTCTCAACGCTAAACCCTAAACCCTAGACCCTAAACACTAAACCCCAACACCGCAAATTGCTCAACCGCAACAGAACCGGGACAAGCGGATATAGGAAGTCCTGCGGCTCTCACCCGCGGAGGACCGCGCAGAGGCGCCCCGGATCGGTCATGGATTTTTGGAAGTTTGAGGGCTAAAATAGAAGGCTAAGTAATTGGGCTCCTTTAAGACTTCCTTTCTAAAGGGGCCTATAAGGATTTACTCTGAGGGGTATTATGGGGGGTTTAGTATAGAAGCCTATTCCGATGATTAAGGCCTGCCTATGCTAGTATGGCCAATGCCTATAGCCCTAGCAATCACACCACCAGTGCTTGTCTTGAGAGTGACGGTTTTATAATCACGGTGATGGCTGTGAACAGTAATACAGTAGTATTGTAGCGGTAGGCACGGCACGCCCGCACAAAATACAAGGACACCGATCTAAAGTGGAGTCTCCGAGAGGAGAGAAGTTAAGCGAATCCTCGTTTAAGGTTTAAGTGGAGGCTCCCTAAGCCCTAAACCCGTTTCAGGTTTAAGTGGAGTGATTAGGGCTCAGAGTGCAGGGTTGGTGTTTGAGTATCGAGGGGAACTTTCTGTATGCTCGGTCGTGTTTTGCTTCGACAGCTGAACTAAGCCGTGGCTAGTGGGCGGATGTTTATTTCACGCGCCGATGTTGTTGACGACCAGTTGGTGATAACCATTATCATGATTATGGTGATGATGCTGATATGATATGGTACGATATCATATGATGTGTTTTGATCTGATACGAGCGACACAGCACGATAATGAATGATAGATATGGCATGATTCGAGATGATGTTTTATGACATTTCATGATATTTCATGAGATGAACCCTTCAATCCCCAACCCCGAAACCCTAGCAACCCCAAGCCCCAAACCTTAATTCCTCGAAACCAAACCGCGCGAGGATTGTCCTTCTGAGTGCTGTCGGAGGATGCTCACGGCTAGAAACCACCCTAAACCCGAAACTCCTAAACCCCTAAACCCTAAAACCCTAATGCGGAGCTTCCTCGTTGGTTAATATAGCCCTACACTCTAAACCCATGCACCACCTACGCCCAAAAGTCTGAAGCCTTTCGACCCTAATTTCCTGCTGAACCCAACACCTTTCCCTAAACCGCAAGCCCTACGTCAATCCCGAAGCTCCTGGGCCCCCCTGGATGCCAAACCCTTAACCCTAAACCCTATACTCCGAACCCTGAACCCTAAACCCCTAAATCTCTAAAGCCCCTAAACCCCTAAACCCCTAAACCCCTAAACCCCTAAACCCCTAAACCCTAAACCCTAAACCCCTAAACCCCTCAACCCCAAAACCCCTAAGCCCTAAACCCTAAAGCCCTAAACCCCTAAACCCCTAAACCCCTAAACCCCTAAACCCCTAAACCCCCTAAACCCCTAAACCCCTAAACCCTAAACCCTAAACCCCTAAACCCCTCAACCCCAAAACCCCTAAGCCCTAAACCCTAAAGCCCTAAACCCCTAAAAACCCCCCTAAACCCCCTAAACCCCTAAACCCCTAACCCCCTAAACCCCTAAACCCCTAAGCCCTAAACCCTAAAGCCCTAAACCCCTAAACCCCTAAACCCCTAAACCCCTAAACCCCTAAACCCTAAACCCCCTAAACCCCTAAATCTCTAAAACCCCTAAACCCCTAAACCCCTAAACCCTTAAACCCCTAAACCCCTAAGCCCTAAACCCTAAAGCCCTAAACCCCTAAACCCCTAAACAAGGTTTGGGGCCTAGAATTAAGGTTTGGGACCTCAAATTAAGGACCGCGGCTTTCAAATTAAGGTTTGGGGCCTAGAATTAAGGTTTGGGACCTAAATTTAGGGGCTCTCAAATTAAGGTTTGGGGCCTAGAATTAAGGTTTGGAACCTAAAATTAAGGACCGGGGCTTTAAAATTAAGGTTTGGAACCTAGAATTAAGGTTTGGAACTTAAAATTATGGACCGCGGCTCTAAAATTGGTTTGGGGCCTAGAATTCAGGTTTGCGACCTAAAATTAATGACCGCGGCTCTCAAATTAAGGTTTGGAGCTTAGAAATAAGGTTTGGGACCTAAAATTAAGGACCGCGGCTCTCAAATTAAGGTTTGGGACCTAGAAATAAGGTTTGGGACCTAAATTTAAGGACCGCGGCTCTCAAATTAAGGTTTGGGGCTTAGAATTAAGGTTTGGGACCTAAAATTAAGGACCACGGCTCTAAAATTAAGGCTTGGGATCTAAAATTAAGGACCGCGGCTTTAAAAATAAGGTTTGGAGCCTAGAATTCAGGTCTGGGACCTAAAATTAAGGTTCGCGCTCCAAAATTAAGGTTTGGGGCTTAGAATTCAGGTTTAAACCTAAAATTAAGGACCGCGGCTATAGAATTAAGGTTTGGGGCCTAGAAATAAGGTTTGGGACCTAAAACTAAGGACCGCGGCTGTAAAATTAAGGATTGGGCCAGTTAATAAGGTTTGGGACCTAAAATTAAGGACCGCGGCTGTAAAATTAAGGCTTGGGCCAATTAAGGTTTGGGACCTAAAATTAAGGACCGCGGCTCTCAAATTAGGGTTTTGAAGCCTAGAATCAAGCTGTTTCGAAAGGTTTTAAGCAGTTTTGAAGCCGGGCAAAAAGGCGACCAGAAGGTTTCCCGAAGGCCGCGCAGGCCCCCATAAAGCCTACAGAAGGTCCTCCCCCGTAAACCCTGCAGAGTCCCCCCGAAGCCACCCAGAAGGCCCTTTGGGTCACTTTGGGGCCTGGAGATTATCACTTTGGGGCCTGGAGATTGTCACTTGGGGGCCTGGAGATTGTCACTTTGCGCCTGGAGATTGTCACTTTGGCGTTGTGGAAAAGTTGGCCTGGTCTGGTTGCAAGTTTATGCAGGTTTTGCGAGGTTCTATAAGGCTCAGAATGGTTTTTAAAAATGTTGAATGGTTTTTGTAGCTGTTTCAATAGGTGTTAAGCAGTTTTGAAGGTGGGCAAAAAGGTGTCCAGAAGGTTTCCAGAAGGCCGCGCAGCCCCCATAAAGCCTACAGAAGGTCCTCCCCCGTAAACCCTGCAGAGGCCCCAGAGGCCACAAGCCCACCGAAGCCACCCAGAAGGCCCCTGAAAGGGTTTGAAAAGGCTTCCAGAAGCCTTGTCAAGCCCCCCCAAAGGCTTCCATAAGCCCACCGAAGCCACCCAGAAGGCCCTTCGGGTCACTTTGGGGCCTGGAGATTGTCACTTTGGGGCCTGGAGATTGTCACTCGGGGGCCTGGAGATTGTCACTTTGCGCCTGGAGATTGTCACTTTGGCGTTGTGGAAAAGTTGGCCTGTTCTGTTTACAATCTTTTGCAGCTTTTCCGAGGTTCTTAAAGGCTCACAGTGGTTTTTAACAGTTTGGAATGGTTTTTGTAGCTGTTTCAATAGGTTTTAAGCAGTTTTGAAAGTTTCCTCTAAACCATATAAGCCCCCCTTGATAGGGGGGGTTGGGGGGGTAGACAACCCTAAACCCGTTCAAGGTTTGTAATTTGGGTGGGCGGGCGGGCATTGCAGCTCCTGCGCCGACCCCAACCACCATGGAGGGGTCGATAGCGCACTCGCAGCGAAAACCCCTAAACCCTAAACCCCTAAACCCCCAAACCCCTAAACCCCAAAACCCCAAAACCCCTAAACCCTAAACCCCAAAACCCCTAAACCCTAAAGCCCTAAACCCCTAAACCCCTAAACCCCTAAACCCCTAAACCCCTAAACCCCTAAACCCCTAAACCCCTCAAACCCTCAAACCCTAAAACCCTACTTAAACCCCAGATCTGCACTCGCAGGCCCTCTTGAGAGCCGCTCTGTCCCATCAGATGTCCCCAGAGAGCCCCATACCCCTTCATTAAGGAATACCTAGGGTTCCTTTAAAGGGATCCTTTAAGGGATCCATAGGGTTTAGGGTTTAGGGGATTCTAATACCCCTTAATTAAGGAATATGGCTTAAATCATGTTATGCGTCCCCTTATGATTTAAGGTAGATTCCTTAATTAAGGGGTATTGGGCTCTCTGGGTCAGGTGGTCGGCGGCCCCTTCGAAGGATGGTTCAAGTGGTGCCTTGGCATGAGCTTCTTTGTAGAAGAGCTAGGGATGCATAGGTGCTTCCTTTAAGGGCAACGGCTTATGGGTTCTTTGGGAAAAAGTAAGGGTTTACATCTTGTATAAAGCAAGATCGCATAGCCTTTTGAAGTTTTGTTATTATGCATGAAGAAGCCAGGGGTTTTAGGTTTTTTGAAAGAGTAAGGGTTTACAGGTTCAGTTTTAGACAGAAGCAAGGGGTTTATCGGTTCTTTTGTTCACGGAAAAGGAAGGGTTCGTAGGCGTGTTTAACAGGCATGTGGCGACTCGGTGTCAGCCTTTTGATTTAAACACGGGTTGATGGGTTTTCTCGCTAAGAAAGTAGTTCTTTTCAGGTTTTAAGGTTGTGTGTTTAGGGTTCAATTTTATGCCTAGCACTGATTGTGACGACTCCGAAACCCTAAACCTAAACCCTGAACCTGGAACCCGAAACCCTCAGGTTGAACAAGGGAGGAGGCTTGACCTTGCAATCGCATTGGCTTGGTTCGTATCGTTGAGCTCGTCTCAGTTCTCCGCTTGTGCTCATCTTGAGGGTTTAGGGTTAAGTTCAGGGTTTAGGGTTTAGGGTTTAGGGTTTAGGGAGCGTCTTTGCGACCACTAGATGGATTGCTGTACTACTTTGCAATGCTCTCCTCTACTCTACTGTACTATACTATACTAAGGCTGATACTATAGCTGAGGCTTGGAAGAAACTCATGCCATGATGGCAACAGTACTGGCAAAATCCTGGAAGCCTAATGTAGGGGCCTTCATCATTACCTATACTATTGCGGGGGTTCCTGATTATAGTTGTAGTATAAGGGGCCCCAAAACCCTGTTCTACCTTTAAGGCCCCTAAAATACTAAACCCCCACTGTCGCCCTTGTATTTAATCCTTATGGAATCCGTTGAAAGGAACCAGATTCTAATTACAAAGGCCTCTATATCATGGTACCCTTATAGTGGCCCCCATGGTAACCCTTATAGACTCTATATAGACCTCTTTGAAAGGAGCCCTTAAAGGGAGCCTTAGTCTAATTTTGGATTAGAAGCTCCGACAGTTGGCGTGTTCGAGGATTAATTTCTGGCCCGTGCGACTGAGTCAATCAAGTGCCAGAAAGGGTTTAGGTGTCTAGGGTTTAGGGTCTAGGGTTTGGGTAACTACACGTTTCATGGCCTATATGGGAGTTTAAGGAGCCTAATATCTAGGGTAGTATATTAGGGTCCCCTATTTTCGGAAGCTCCCATATCCCGCATAAGGATACTCATAATCACGCGTATATCGTCCCAGTGTTTAGAAGTGCCTGGTATCTGTCAGGTTTGGTTTTGTATAGCACGGGCAGGACTCTGAGGCTAAGCCTCGCAGCCCTCCGCGCTTGCGTGCAGAAGTTACGGCTGAAGGAGGGTTTAGAGTTTAGGGGTTTTGGGTTTAGGGGTTTAGGGTTTAGGGTTTCGAGTTTTAGGGGGATTTGCCAGCCTTGTCAGGTCACAAGCCCCGACCCTTCGTGGGGTAGGTCTTTTTGTTGGGGCTCCCAGGTTTCTCAACGAAGGCTCAGGTGTAAGGCAGTTTGGGCATAGCACGCTAAACCCCTAAGGAGTCATTGCCCGCAACCCGAAAACCCTACCTGTGGCCCAGAACCCTATCTGTTTCAGGATTAGGTTAGAGAGCCGATATAGAAGCCATAAAAGAAACCCAAAAAGGTGGGTTTTGTCGTTTACAGCTAAGCTCTAAGCCTTAAAATCTCTTAAAGATTCCTTACAGTATCCCGCAGAGCAACCCTAACGGTATCCCTTAAACCCTAAGCCGTATAATTCCAGACCCCGACGATTGAAGTCCAAACTTCTCGAAACTGAACCCTGCGGCCTCAGATTGTTGAAGTCTGACAACTTGGAGGTTTATGGGTATAGTTATAAGTAGGGTTAGAAGTCCCTTAACATGGGTTATAACTAGAGTTATCCTACTTATAACCCTACGTATAACTAACCATGAACCTCCAAGTAGGCACTAAACCCTCTACCCTTATAGAACCCCTTAAGATCCCTTTAGAGGGACCCTTAAAGGAACCCTCATAACCAACCATGAACCTCCAAGAAGCCAAGGCAAGGAGCAGTCATGGCCGAGGACCTGAGTTTTGGGATGTTAGGATTTCGGGGTTTAGGGGTTTAGGGTTTAGGGTTCAGGGGTTTAGGGTTTTAGGGGTTTAGGGTTTTAGGGGTTTAGGGTTTTGGGGGTTTAGGATTAAGGGTTAAGGTTTAGGGTGTAGGGTTTAGGGTATAGGGTTAGGGGCTACATTACACTATCTCATATTTTGGTATATCGCATTATGGTCTGTTCCATTGTACTGCACTGTATTGTACTGTATCGTCTTTGTTAGATCACTTTATATGCTATTCTGCGGGTGATTTTATCTTATGTTGAGTGCTAGACAGGCTTCTGTAAGCCGGGCTGTGGGAGGGTCACGGCGCAGGGCTTAGGGCTACTGCAATGAGGGCTGCCACGGTTGATGATATAAATCCTGCATTAATCATAATAAGGAATATACCATGGTTCCCGTAGTTTAGATTAGGGTCCTTAAGCAGGTAATGCGTGGTTTATATCATCAACAGTACTGCTTGAGGTCTGGATTTAGTAGGTGTAGACAGGGCCCAATGTGTAAGGATTGCGCCTCGGGCTGGCAGGGTTTTCTGGATGTTGATTCTTCTTGCCTCGATCTGTTGTAACTGTAGCTCAGTAGTAAGAATTACCTATACTATTTTGGGGTTCCTTGCCAGAATTTTAATATAATGGGTTTCAAGACCCTATTCTAACCATTAAGGCCCTTATTCCCACATACATTCACATGGCCAGCCTGAACCGAGAGAGCTCCGGCTTGGATGCAGTACTTGAGTCGAGGGGACGGGTTCCATGTAACTAAGCGTAATTCACAAATACGCTGACTTAAAACCCTAAAGTGTCAACCCTAAACTGCCCCTAAACCCTAAAACGCGAAACCCCAAACCCTAAAAGCCTGCACCTTGCGCCCTAAATGCTCGCCCAAGCGCCATCGCCCTGACCATGTCTCCGCTCGGCTCCCACAGCGTTCCCTTCTACTCTGCCGGCAGAGCTCTACTCTGGACTCTGAAGTCTCCCACAAAAGGCCGAGAAAGACATGGTGGAGTCTTGGACTCGGCTCTCCGCCGGATGGATTGGATCTTGGCCTAGGAGGAGCCCAGAGACTCCAATATCCCTTAATTAAGGAATATTCCTTAAATCATATTAGGGATCCTACCATAATTTAAGGTATATTCCTTAATTAAGGGATATTGGAGTCTGTGGGGTGGTGCCGACTTAAGGTTCAGCATAAACCCTTATAAGTGGCGTTTTAAGTCCCCTAATATGGGTTATAAGTATAGTTACCCTATTTATATCCCTACTTATAGCTACCCATGAACCCTAAAACCCGAAGTTTCGAGCTTCAGCTTTGTTTAGGGTTGGGGATGAAGCCTCCTCTCGCCGGTACTAAGCCCCCGACCCCAAACCCCAAATCACAATCGTACTGTTGATGATATAAATCCTGCATTACCTTAAGGACCCAATACTATGGGAACTATGGTATATTCCTTATTATGGGTAATGCAGGATTTATATCATCAATCGTAGCACTCTTAAGATGCCCAAGACTCCTGTAGGCTTCGGGTTTAGTCATTTACTCACGTTTCGGGTTCCGTCCAGGGTTTGGGGTTTAGTTTATGTTATGTTTGTTTAAGGCCCTTGGGGTTTGGGTTCTTTTAGTTTAGGTCTGGGGTTTAAGGTCAATCGCATGATGACTTCTGACTCGTCCAACAAATCTCTAGGTGCGGCCAAATCCCTACGTGGGGATTTCGCATAGATCCTAAATAGTAAGGTCCTCATCGTGCAGACCTCACAAGACGGATTCGTAAGGCTGACAAAGCCCAAAAAGAACCCAGATAAAACCCTCATACAACCCTTGATAGATCCTTTGTAGAATTCTCTTAGATGCCTTCGTCATCCATCTCAAAGGACGGCACCATTTACGGCCTACCTAACCGGGCGAAAACAGTGCTGCAGATTCGTCCAGAACCCGCCTAGCAAGATTGAAAAAGTGATGGGGCTCTTGGGGCTTGGGCTTCAGGGGTTAATCGCAGTAGGTTTTTAGCTTTCCAAAACCCTAAACCCTAAAGCCTAAACCCTAAACTGGAGAAAAGGAGCTCAAAAAAAAAAAAAAAACAAGCCCTAAACCCTAAACCCTAAAACCTAACTGAACTGACCGGTTATGGGTCGACAGCAGGCATCGGCTTAGTGGGAGAACTTTCGTGGGGACCGGGGGCTCTGGTCATAGCTGCAAGATGCTCAGTAGATTGGGGTTCAGGGTAGGGTTCATTTAAGACATTTACAGATGGGTAGTTATAAGGTGGGTAGTTTCCCATAAGCCTCCCATACCACTCCTATAAGGTAAAGGGTGTCTTATGGGAGTACTATGGAAGAGGAACTACCTACCTGTAAGGGGCTTCTAGTTCAGGTTTAGTGGTATATATGGGGTTTAGGGTTTAGGTTTTGAGGGGCTAAGTTGAGACTTGGCAGTGCAATTTCGTTCACTTACATATCTCTTCTTTCGAAGTGCTCCAGTTCAATGCCGCACACTGGTAAAGAAAGCGCTCTTTGCCTGCACAAGCTTTTCCCGCCCCTTGTCCGAATGGTCGAGGAAGGAGAGCTTCAGCAGCAGACAGGGACCCCGATATGGCCCCCCACGTTGGTAGGAATCTCATTATATGCAAGAATCCCAAAAAAGGGGAAGCCCAAGAATCCCCCCTGTATCCCAACCCTGGGAGTCGGAAAGCTCTGGGAGATTCCGCAGACGCCGCTCGCCGCAGTTTGAATTCCCATCTTATAGCCGTGCAGGGTAGTGGCATCCCCGAGGGAAGCCGAACGCTGACGGAAAAATGTGTGATGCAGGACTGCCCGTGTTCTTGCCTTGTGTTTTGCGGCCTTCGGTTGGAGGGTTTGGGTTGAGGCCGTCGACGACTTGCATGCTCAAGACGTACCGTACCGAGAGACAGGCCTGGCCTCTTTGACCAGATGCCCAGAGCCTTAAATCATGCCCGAGGCCCTAAATCGTAAAGCCCTGAACTTCGTGACAAAGCGGGAGAGGCCAGCTCATCTCATGGACGTGCAAGGCTACACAAACGGCTAACAATCGCACAGCGACAAGAACAACAACGACGACGACAACGACAACAACAACTGCTCCTGCTACTCCTGCTCCTGCGGCTGCTACTGCTACTGGTACTGCTACTGCTCCTGCTGCTACTTCTTTCCCGATAGCACCTTTAGAAGTTTAGGGTTTGGGGTTTAGGTGTTAGGGGTTCAGGGGTTTAGGGGATCCTTTTCGGCTCTGGCAGTGCTCTGCACCAGGGTCCTGCAAGAGTTCCACGACCTTTTTCCAAGCTCTGAAGGAAACGCCGGAAGGTGACCTAGAAGCCCAATCCTGAACTCCGAGCCAGAAGGCTTTCCCATAAGTGCTCGAAATCCCCAAGCCCCAAACCCCAAACACCCTTTGTAGGACCCTGATAGCAACCCATGGGGGTTAGAGCCGAGGCCTTAGGGTATTGGCTGTTGATCCTCAAAAAATCGCGGAAGGATGCGCGTGTAACATGTCTGCGAAGATCCTGACGGCAATCGGTGCTGTGTGCCCTGGTTTTTGAGACGCTTTCAGGGTTCAGGATTTGGGTGTTTGGGGTTTTAGGGTTTAGTATGTCGGCTAGGGCTTCTCGCCGGAGTGTGCAAAAGGCACTCCACACCCCACCGAGAGGCATGTCACCGAATACCATCTGCCACCGCGCGACCAGACAGGTGAGTCATGGCCGTGCTGCGTGTTCATTCTGCGTTCTTGATTGAGAGCACCCTTTTGTCTATACACACAGGATTTAAGGTTGAGGTTCTCACCCTAAACCCTAAACCCTACATGGTACTGAAATCCATCTTCAGGGTCGCAGACCCCCAAACCGCAAACCGCGGCTGAGGATCGCCGCCATCGGCATGATCATCTACATTCTCGGAGTGACGCAGGCCAGGCCCTCGGTAGCTTGAGATTCTATAGGGCTCCTTTAAGAGATGCTGGTAGGGCTTCTATGAGGGTTGTCACAGCGAGTCTTCCTGGGATTTCGGGTGAGAGGTTTTTAGGGTTTCGGGTTTAGGGTTTGTCTTCGGTTAGATAGGGGGTTTCTGAATGTAGTGGGCTCCAGGAAATTTTCTAAAGGGTTTTGAGAGGGCTCTGCAGAATGGTGCGTGACCCGGGATCCTGAATCCTAAGACTTGAAACCCTTCAGGCTTCAGAGCTACTAGGGGAAACGGAATCATGACATGAGCAGCAACATAATGCAGAAGAGGATCCATACTAGAAATCCTTCTTAGAAGCCTTGTCGCAGCCCGTGTAGAACCCGGAAGCCGTGAGTGAGAAGCCCCAAACTGGCGCCAAACCGGGGATCCTGTAACCCGAATCCCTAATCCCCAAACCCCAAACTCGAATCCTGATACCCTAATCCTGGTCCTTAATAACTTAAGCAGAATCCCGAATCCCTAAGCCCTCTAAGCCCTAAGCCCTAAATCCTAAACCCTAAGCTCTAAACCCCACTCCTTAATAGCTTAAACCCGAATCCCAAATCCCTCAACCCTAGGCCCTACACCCTAAACCCCGTGTCTCGAAGCCGAAGCCGAGCCCAGGGACTCCAATACCCCTTAATTAAGGAATATACCCTAAACTATAGTAGGATCCTTAATATGATTTAAGGAATATTCCTTAATTTAGGGGTATAGGAGTCTCTGGGAGGTGGCTTCGATCGCGGACGATCGCATGCTGGTGGACGGCCAGAGGACCCCCACACCTGTTTTTAGGGCTTAGGGCTTTGGGTTTAGGGCTGAGGGCTTTGGGCTTTGGGTTTAGGGCTGAGGGCTTGGGGGTTTAGGGCTGAGGGCTTAGGGATTAGGGGTTAGGGGTTTAGGGATTAGGGGTTAGGGTTTAGGGATTAGGGGTTAGGGTTTAGGGATTAGGGGTTAGGGTTTAGGGATTAGGGGTTAGGGTTTAGGGATTAGGGTTTCGGGATTAGGGGGTATAGGGTGTAGGGCAGGGATTCGGGCCGGAAGCCTCCAAGCCCCAAGGCAAACAGCCTGCACAAGCCGGTCGCAACACAAGCCAAGATCTTGGCAAGTCTGTTATAGGGGCTACTATAATTATAAGGGACCCTTAAAAAACTATCATAGGGTGTAGGGTTAAGGGTTTTGTGTCCTTAGTAGGGAATGGTGGAATGGACCCTATGCTAAATAATCCCCAACACTAGCCTCCATAATCCATTCCCCCATTCCCTACTAAGAACCAGACAGAAGTGTCTCTGACGCGCACCCTGCATCTTGGAGACAGCAGAGCGCGAAGGGCAGCCCAGACTGAGATAGAGGCTCAAAATCACAAGCAGCATGACATTACGTTCTGGCCCCCAACCCGCAAAAAAACTTAGATTGTCTCGTACCCCTTCCTTCCCTTGCTTCTTAGTGTTTTGGATAGCATCTCACATCTTTTCGTTCTTATGGCATACCTACGAGCTTCTATTTCGCCTTTCGTATTCTATGCAATTCTGTGCGTATCCACAGAGTACCCCGAAACGACGGCTGAAACGGCTTCGACCCTTGTTTTGCTGCTCTTAGCCCTCTAAGCCTCACAGTCCCAAGCCTTAGGCACCCCAGTAAACTCTGAACCTGAAGCACCGAAGACACCAAACATCAACGGCCAAACCCGTACCCCTCAACCCCGACCCCCCAAAACCCTGAAGCCCTGAGTGCCAAGCCGCCAACCTCCCCAAACCGGCCCCAAATGGAACCGCAAAGCGAATGGAAAGGAACTTCCAGTTCGAACTGGGCGGAGGCGCTGGCAGAATATTTAGGAATCAGAAGTTATTTATGGGCTCCCTCAAGGGATGGGATACTGTTCCAGTTCGGGTTACTATGAGGGTTACTATAAGGAGTCTTGTTTCGCGGTTTAGGGCTTCAGGGTTTCACAGTTTTGGCTTGGGGATTCTTACGAGCTTCCAAGGAAGCCCTGTCAGGGAACCCCATCCCGAGGTGCGTCCAACTTGTCGAGGCCCATTGAGGGCCACGGAGCGTCATTGAGGCCCATTGAGGCTCATTGAGGTTCATTGAGGCTTATTGAGCAACAATGGTTTTCGTTGAGGCTTTGCGTTGCTCAGGCGTTCTAGGCCCAGCATGAGTATTCGACTCGCGCTTGGTCTGGAACGAAACCGCCTCAACGAAAGCCACCGGTGCTCAATGGGCCTCAATTCGCTTCAATAGGCCTCAGTGGCCCTCCATGTCGCGCAATGGGCCTCGATAGGTTTCATGCACTCCTTGAGGGGGTTCCTTGATGAGGGGGTTGCCATAGAAGTGTGTAAGATTCAGAATCCGGCTACCTGGATCCCGGATTCAAGAATTCGCTTCCTCCTATGATTACAACCTCCGGTAGTGCACCTAGTGGCCCGGGGACGCACCCAAAGAAAACTTAGCGGTGACCTTACGGAGTCGCTTAGACGGCTCAGGGATGGGACCCTGTATGGAAGCTCGCTCTCTGTAGAGATATTCAACAGCTTCTGAAGCTTTGCGATTGCAACAGCGAGTGTGTGTTGGAACCTGAGAGCTGCTTTCTCGAACGTTCTGTGTGCCAACGCTCTCTCGGGACTTCACAAGAACCAGCATAGGTAGTATTATTGGGGAGACCCCTTAAAAGGGTACCCCTTCTGAACCCTACTTCTGGCTCTCTTAAAAGGGGCCTTATTGAGAGGGTCTATATCCCCAAGGGTCTCCCTAATCCTAACTGAGAGGGGGTCTTATGTCCGACAAGCATTTCAATCCTAACTCCCACAGCAGGGGCCGCAGGAACGTAATATTGCAGTCGCTACGCGTAGGGGGCAGGGATCGTAAGACTGCAGGGTCTGTGGAATGCCACATTTAAAAGGCTTTAGATCAAAAGCATGATACCCTAATATCATCGTTTCTTCACTGAGAGTAACAATATTTCGCCATTTAGTACTTCGCTTGGTTGCACATTA